TATGGTAGATGGGCATTCCATCTGGCAGTTCCAGGATGACGGCAAGGAGAGCTACCCCAAAGCTGTTCGTGTCCCGCCCAAGCGGGGGGCAATTGCCGACAGAGCATTTTATGCTGCACCTTCGCTCCGGCATGTAGAAGTGGCAACTGGCATTCAACATGTAGGAGTTGCGGCTTGGCAGACGAGTCAGCAACTACAAATTGTCAAGCTCCCACCCTCGGTCATAAGTCTGGCGGAAGGGGCTTTCCAAGGGTGCTATGTGCTGCGAGAGGTGGCCGCTCCGGGGTGTATCCAATACGGTCCAAGGGTGTTTGCGGAGTGCTGCTCCCTAGGTCGAGTTGGGGCCAGTCATGAAACAGAGGACAGCAACGTCCTAGCACCAGGGGCACAGCTAGGTAAATATGCCTTCGAGAGTTGCCTCACACTTGCCACCATCACCTTTGACATGGACCATACTAACAAACCTCGAGCGCTGCCTGAAGGGGCATTCTGCGGCGCAGGCATTGAACAGCTCTGCTTACCGAGTGACTTCCGCAATATCGGGCCGCGGGCCTGTGAGAATTGTAAAAGCCTTGTGGAGGTCAACCTCATGGGCACAGAGATCACAGCCCTCCTCTCTTCCACATTTGCCCACTGTGTCGCCTTAAACTGTATATGGCTCCCGCCACGACTCACGCAAATTGGCAAAGAAGTTTTCCTGAATTGTGTGGCACTGCAAGAAGTTGTCATCCCGACGGAGCTCAGTGATATAGGCAACCGTGCATTTTGTGGGTGTGAGCAGCTGCAACGATTTACCCCCCTGGACTGGGGTGACATTGAACAGTGCGTGCAAGCAGAGCACAATGCCTTCTTTATGTGTGACAAGTTTGAGAAACCCCAGTGGGTGGAGCTGCTCCCTGCGGAAGGACCTGATTCGGATGCTTTTGACGAGGAACTCTACCACGAATACTCTCAATATCATGCCAGTCCATGGTAGACTCTAGGTGGGTGCCTTAGCATCTGTCTTCAGAATCCATGGCCTTGGGAACAGCCCACAAGCAGACCCAGACACTTTTGACTCAAACAATCATTGCAAATAGCCTGTCGCACATGGAAATTGATGATTCATCCATGATTAGCACTCCCCCTGAAAAGGAGCCGGTCATGGAATGCCCCCTGATGCTGACTACGCTTTCGGGAGAGACTTTTCAGGTCTCTCTCAGTGTTGCAAAGTTTGACCGCTTTGAGGATCTAGAAGACCAGGTCATGGACTATCTCGTTTCTGTTACTGATCTCAAAGTATTTGGGCGCTTCATTGACTTTTTACAAACTGCCACACAGATTTACCTAGAGGACCCAATCTGGGACAAGCTACAGCAAGGCACGGAATACACTATTGTCTTTCGAAACTGCAGTGTTATCCTGCCATCTCAAGAAGAACTTGAGGATTGCCCTATCCATCACATTCCGCTAGCAGTTCATGTCCCCATGAACCCAGAGGGAATTGTCCCAGAAGGGGCCTTTGCAGGGGTTCCACGCCTGAGACACGTCAGCGTAGAGTCAGGCATCAGGCTCATTGGAGCAGAGGCTTGGCAAAACTGCCGGCAGCTCCGCATCGTCAAACTGCCGGCCACAGTGGTAGGCATTTCCGATAACGTCTTCCGTGACTGCAAACTACTAAACAGCGTCTTGGCTCCGGGTTGTCGAGATTTTGGGTATAAAGCCTTTGCGGAATGTTGTTCCTTGCAATGGGTGTATGCATCGGAAGGGGTTGCAAATATGTTCAATAGCGAAGCCAAGTTAGGACAATACCTCTTTCAAGGGTGTATTAACCTTGCTGAGTTTACCTTAAGTGAGCTTCCATCCCCCCGAGAGTCAGTACTGCGAGCTAGGACCAGTGAGTTGACGCCGGGCTGTCTTAGCTCTACGGGAATCACCGCACTTGCTCTCCCAATGCATTTTGTAGCTATCGGAGCCCATGCAGGCGACAGTTGCCGACTGCTTAAGAGTGTAGACCTTTGCAACACCAATGTTGAGGAAATTCCGGAATTCGCCTTTGTGCACTGCACTAGTCTCAGAGAAGTCCTCCTTCCGACAACTCTCCATACAATCCGAGTCAAAGCCTTCATGAACTGTGCAGCCCTAGTTGAGCTTGCCATCCCGCCCTCGCTGAGGTACATTGGAAGTAGGGCCTTCCTAGATTGCACTGTCTTTAGTAGGCTTGCCAAGATGCCAGGAAGGCATAAGTGGCGAGGAGTCTATGCTGAAGAGAATGCTTTCGCCATTTGTCCTGCTATGCGATGGCCACCCTGGCTGCATATGATCCCGGACATGGGGTACACCCCTGGTCTTGGATGAAAACAAGCCTTTCTGGCCGCAGCAAGCGCTGTCTCGCAGTTACTCGTTAAGAGTCTGGGCACGCGCCTTAGCGTGAGTCCAAGGTAGGCCAAAAATCACACCAGGACAAATTCCATAGGGGAGCTGAGAAACATCGCAATTGTACCCTGCCATAGGAGGTTCCACTCATGAGTATCATGGCGATACGCCCGCACTTTGGAGCTAGGGGCAAGCAAAAGAAAATAAACTGCACATCGCCAAAGACCAGTGTCCCTGAACAAACTGGATAACCTGTCTAGTCCAGGCAATGCTGAGAGCTGTCGACAGATGCCAGTGGTCACAGGGAAGAAAACTGCTCAGACCTGCCAGAGCCGGCAATTCTTTGTGGCTGGAATGGGGGACAAGCTAACCGACAGCGGAGTACGGCAAGCAAGATGCGCAAGCACTAAATAACCTCTTCTCGCCATTCGCAATGCTGTGAGCCAATAGGAGTGAGAGCCTTAGCTCCTCGTTCCTAACAGGCGGGTGGTAGAGAGTGGCAATGGAGGATGCCCAGGGGGAACCTTAGTTCCCTTTGTTGATGTCCGACATTTCCAATTTTGTACAAAGAGGTACAGATACCATGCTAGGATTGTCCAAAGTTTCACCTGTTTCACCTGTTTCACACGGGCCTTGCATGCAGCCGATCACCTTTTGCAATGGTGCAGCACTTCATAGATCTAGAAGACACCCCACTCTGTTTGCTATTTGGCACCTTTGAGTGCCAAAGGGTGCTGAGCTGACCTCCCTCCGGGGGGGTGCCGGTTCGCACCATTACCTGCAGGCTTTCGTCGATTATGGCCGCCACTGATTGATCGCCGATTGGTAGCATGCCACTGGACTTGTAAGTGCAACCGGTTGAACGGGTTGTGCCACAAGAAAGGTCTTTTCCACGGCATGCTGCATAGCTACGCCACTCCACTTGCCAGGGATGCAGTCGACGTTGGAGCATTGCGATACTCCTGACCTGCACCGTGACCATGATTTTGCCGCGCTGGGGTGTGGCCGCTGGTCACTTGTAATTGTGAAGTGAGGTCCCTTTGAAGCCTTTTTGTGACTTTGCTAGAGCACAGACCTGCGCCGATATGCTTTTCGTTCGTGAATTCAGGCCCATTTCTAGACACTCTTTTTCGTTTCACCTGTTTCACCTAGCACAGAGGAAAGACTACATGATGGTGGAGACTCGGCCTGTGGGCTTTTGGTTGTTTGTTTTGGGTTGTGCAGACTGTTCTTCCCTCCCTTCAACGATGACCTGGGCACCATGCCCACACGGCGTCCGTACTCGTGGAAAAAATGGTATCAGACTGCTGAAAAAAACAGCTGACCATTGATCTGCAAGCTTGATTGTTATCATGCACGCCAAACACTTTCTTTCCAGCAACCTCAAATCTCACTGGTTTTCCAAATTTTTTGCTCCTTCAAGGGATGGAAAAAAGTGATTTTTCTGGGCACCAGTTTGGGGTCCAAAAACCTCAGAGGGCCTTCCCAGTAGTGGCAAAGGTGACCGACTTTTCCTGATGACAAATTACCGATCTTGGATTTGAGCAGAAATGCAATCACACGGTGATGCAAAGTTTGGAACAGAGAGCCAATCACAAATCTGTTGAACCACTCGAACTGAGGCCGATGTCGAAGTGCTCCGGTCTCTGTGCCAGGGCAGAACCTGCAATTTTTCACAAAATTGGCCTCAAATACGGATTTTTGTTGACAGAGCAGTTGCGAATTTCGTGCTGGCTTGGGCAGCTTCCCCGAACAACTGCACGTTGGTCCAACAGCTCCAGAAAACCTTGGTTCCGAGACAGTGAGAGAAAGGACAAGGCCCAACAAACTCTCCCGGGCCTTGTTTGTTCCAGGACTTTGTCAATCCCCCACCAGCGTTGCCAAGTTTCTATTGCCAGAAAGACCGTGTTTTTGGAGACCAGCTTGTTCACTTGTTCTTTCCCACACAAATTCGTGCATTTTGCCACACGTTTTTTTAAGGTTTGCCTAAAGAGTACTGTTTGCACAACTTACTGGAAAAATATGTTTTTTCATCTACCGGAAAAATGTGAAGATGTCACTCAAGCTGGGGTGGTGTCTCACCTGATCGACACCACATCGCCGGTCATTTTGGTCCCAGTGTTCGGACAGTGTTTTGAACGGAGATCTGCTCTTGGATTGTCTTCAAGTGACATGGAGCCGTTCTTCGGTTGCCGGGTCGGCTGCGGAATCGGAAAACGGACATTTGAAATGGTCCTTCATCCGTCAAAAGATTGCTCTGAAGAAAAAGGGTTTTGATCCAATCTTTGAAAGGGGGTGGAGGTCAACTTGAGTTCTTGACCGACAGATTTTCAGGCAACCAAGGGACAAGGCAGTGTTTGTTGGACTTCCGAATGACCACTTGAAGACCATGTTTAAGAGTTATAAAACAGGGAGTGCTGCTCCTGACATCACCAGAACCTCAAACACTTGATCAACAATTTGCAGCCAGAGTGCTTTTGGACAGCAATCCGTTTGGTTCCAACTGGCATGATGGTTCATTCGCAATACCTTCAAATCCAGAAACAACAGAAAACCAACCTTTTGAACAATTGTTGCAGCAGCTTGATCCCACACAAAGATGCCGCTTGCAAGTCAAAAAACAACCATTCAGCGGCATTTTGTCCAGCCACAATGCGAACGGGTGCGGCATGGTTGTTGGCAGATTGAAAGCACTTAGATTGGGTGTTCAAATTAAGAGCAACTCATTTTAAAACCAAGGCGGTTATGCACTTGAGAAAAACAATGTTGAAGAACTCATTACTCGGAGGAGTTCCATTGGTGCGTAGTTTATAATGTATCTTGTCCAATCACAAGCCAGATTGCTGCAAGGTTCCTTTTTGTTTGGGCTTTGCAGCCGTCAACTTCAGCTTTCTGAGTGCTGGTTCTCGGCCTAAATCAGCAATTTGCAATGTTTGCAAATCAGTTTGCATTTACATATGTCAACACATGGCAATGAGCTTTGGTGATAAGCTTCAAACCCATGTGGCCCAATTTGTAGCAGCACATTGGAAGGTTTCGTTCCTGAAGGTCCTCGAGATCCTTCTCGACGTCCGGCCTCCTTGTTGGGGTTGAGGCTAGATTCTTGGAACGAACACAAAGCCTTTCTGGGGATCAGTAAAGCTTACCTTTCGCGTGCATTGGTGCCATTCAGTCTCAATATATGAGAGAACGACCTATGAATCCTGCTTCGGGGGCCGGACAGTTTAACAGAAGACAATGCGCACGGCAACTCTATTTGTTTTTGCCTGTATAACAAAAGGACACAGTATTTGGACACCATTGGATTGTTTCGAGTCTAACAGAGCGTGCACTACATTCAGAATCAACATCTTACAGGCATAGTCAGTCGGCATAGTCATAGTTTTGCACACTTATTGCTGACAAACTTTGCAGCAATTTTATGTTTTTGCAAAAACAGTGGCCTCAAGGAATTGGTCGAGGTTTCGGAAAGTGGTGTGAAAGGTTTCGCTTCAGGCGAGGTGCTCCTCATTGGAGCTTTCTTGGCACAGCCCGCATGGGCAGCTTCTTTGGAGGCAGCTTCCTTCTTCGTGACGGGTCCTTCGGATATTTGTCACCCGTGTCCGGATGGCACTGAGATGTCAGTCTTTGAGATCGTCCAAAGGGTCAGCAATCTGATGCGCTAGTACAATTTCGATCTAGTCAATATACTTAGAAAGCGTCCTGTCCAAGTTTATCTGTTGCCAGAGTTCATCCATGCGCCAGGTTGGTGTGTTGATCCATATTGATCCACTTCATGAGTGTTTGCTTGATAGAGGAAAGTGGCTGGACACCACCGTTGTAGTCATTTCTGCACAGGCTGAGTTGCTAGTAGCCACGGTCGGTTGAATGCCTTCGTATTTGCTGCTAGGTGAAGCGGGACCTTTTGGCATTGGCCGCAACTTGGTGTATCTCACCAGATGCAATCGACTTTGGGCTTACCTGTGTTACCACTCACAGGCCCAGACTTCTTTTGTGAAGGGCTAAGAATGTCTGAAAGGATCTCTCTAGGTGAAGGCTTCACCTCACAGCGGACAAGACTCAGAGACCCAAGCAACAATGTATATACAAAATTTGAGAGATTCGGGTAAGCACAGGGCACTTTACTATAGCTGTTGTGATTTGCCTGTTTGTGCAGTAAAGAACACTATATATTGGAAGTCTGGCCTAAAAGGGTGATGTCCATGATACCTGAAGGTGAAGATTGCAAGGAATCTGCAATGAACCTGCCATTTGCCATACATTCACAGATCCACGCCCAGCATATACTATGCCTTTTCCCATGGTAGGCTCTTGCCTTGCCAGACACCATTTTCCAGCAAGGATGAAACCAGACGGGGCACAACAGCTTCGGCTGCTCAACGCAGGTGGCTGGGCAGGGTCGGGGATGCTGCAAACATAATCAAGGTAGAAAACCTCGAACTCGACAAAAGTCGGCTAAGGACTCGAGCAAACCGAGTTGCTGATCCTCACTTTTTGGTATCTGAGTCTCACCCCACCAGCCCCTCAATATGTATGAAAAGAATGCATAAGTCAATACAAAGTATATCTCAGAAATTCTCCCGCCCTCACAAATCCGGAAGGTAGAGCGCAGCTCTTTTCTGTTCTCCAAAATGCCTCAAACGTGCTTGATAGCCCAGTCTTTCGTCAGGCAAGGCTTCCGCAGACACCAGTGCACACGTAACAATGAAAGTCGTTTCGCTTCTGAACCTTGCGACGACACAATCGAAAGTATGAATCACGGGCGAATGCCGGAGAGAAGCCGACCGGAGTGGCCACTATCGCTATCAAAGCTCGGGAGGAAAAGTCTACGGTCAATGGACGGACATGGTCAAAAGGATTCACTGCGTGGATCCCACACAGTCACAAACAAAAGTGCATGTTCACTCACGCAAGGCTAAAAGGGATAAGCCCAGCGATCACCATGGCATGTCTTTAAATGCCTCTGCACTGTCACAAACCGTAGGGGTCTTTGTCCATCAAACCCCATGTACAGAGTGCACTTACTCCACAAGATGTCCTTTGAAAAAGAGGTTTTGCAAATGCTTGTGAGGGGTTATCGTACACCTCTCCAAAGCCCAATGGCATGTGTGTTTGTATATATACATACATATATATATATATAATATGCATATTCATTATTCATATTTTACATGGAGAGATATTGCGGGCGCAGCAACATTTGCTGTCTGAGGCTTAAGAAAGACACTTTCTTTACGGATGAAACATTTCCTAGGAACTCAAGGATGAAGCAGACTTTCATCACAAGAACCTGAAGACTTGCATGCTGCCCGAACATCCCCGCAGATGGGGCACTATGAAACGGGCAGAAACCTGAAAGTGGTGTGGATGGTTTGTCAAGCACTGTACAGTAGTATTTGGTGAGGAGGATGAGCCAACTGGCGGACGACCTGAGCTCCACGGCCAGCATCTCCACAAAGAGTATGCTCTCAGGCCTGATCAAGCATTATACAATCATGCTAGCTTCAAACCGGGAACAGTATCAATATCATTTCTGGCAACCACTTCAGTCTGGGATTGTCACTTTGGAGGTAGACTGACTTTCTCCTGGCCTTTTGGGGATCCAAGTTCGGTTCCTCAATGCTGCCCGACCTGCACAAACACGTTATGCTTAAGGCTCTGGAGTTGTCAAAAAGAGGTGCTGTCCAATTTTTCCCAGATAGCAAGGACTAAAGGACTATTGGGGTCTTTACTTCAAGTATAGGAAGAGGTGCCTGGGTGCGCTTTTGGGTGCTGGTGCCGCTGCAGGGTGCCGCCCAAGGGTGCTGCGACGTGTTTGGGCCGTGTGCTTTAGAGCCTGGACGCTGGCGCCAAAGCGCGCTGCAGAGTGCCGCTGCAGTGTGCTGCCCACAAAAGTCTTTTTGCTATTTGGGGTCTATGCTGGCGTAACTTGTAGAACAAGGCGCTCAAAGCACAATCAAGCCTTTTTGTTTGCTTTGAATCTCGTTGGTCAGAAATGCCAAAACTTGCGTCCTTGTCCTTGTCCACAAGTGCACACAAAGCCACTACACGCCTTAACATCTTTTGAGGTAGTTGACAGGCCTCTGAAAATCATAAACCAGTACTGAGTTTTGGTTTTGGACGCAGTCGCACTTCAAGACAGGCGCTCTCATTCCTCCAGCTTTGCTTGGCCTTTTTTTGCACATGGAACCTTTTTGAAGTAAGTCCTGAGAATAAGAACTGCGTAGCCGCGTATCCAAATGACTGCTATACTTTCACTCTCATAGCCAATGCCACGCGCAAGACCGGAACGTTCGAACAGCTTGAAAGAAGATTTTCTGGCATTCGCAGTGGGAGGTTTGTTTGGGCTTTCATTTTGTGATTCACAGTGGAGATAGCTGACAGACAGGAGATTCGCATTTCTAAAGCTGCACTGTACAGGAATCGAGACAGGTGGACAAATTGGTTTTGGCGGCTTTCTCGTCATTGTAATCGTAGGTGGAAATGTGTACCCGCGTGGAAAGTTCCAGGTGATCCAGAAGCAGTAAGTTTGGCACAAGTTAACACATTGTCCACCTTCACTGAACTAATTGAAACTAGCAGACAACAACGTTGTCGCACCGAGTCATGCCGTGTGCAAATCTTAGCTCCACAGGTTCCTGTCTAGACAAATATTTCTGTGAAATTCTGACTTTGAAGAGCGCTCCCCTCCATGCAGACTTTGACGTGATGATGTTGCTGTGGCTTTGAGTCTTGCAGGTACCTGGAACCTGGTCTACACCACTGAAAAGGAGGTGCTGTCCTTGATTGGCGACCCAGGCTGGTCTGTTTTGCAGTATGCTGTCCCATATCTTCCAGGTCCATCTCTGCAGTTTGGCATTCTCCTAGAGTCACTCGCCATGAATTCCTGAGTACTCACAAAGGACCTCAAAAAGTTCGTCTTGCCTGGACTAGTCCAGATTGTCATGAATAGAGCAAGGACACATATACATCAATGGTCTAGTTTCCGGCACGTGTCCCGGAAAAACAAGCATGCCCCAGGAGCAGCTGTCTATCAGAAGATTGACGTTGACGGGGGCACTTTGGGAAACAGTGCTTCGGCTGTTTGGTCGGTACTGCTGTTGGTGAAAGGGAGGCCAAAGCTGAAGACTTGTCTTGTTAAACCACTCGCTCCAACCACTAACTGGAGCGATGCCCTCCAACCTAGTAGCGATGGCATCCAACCTGAGAGCGCTGGCCTCCTACATAAGAGTGATGGCCTCCAACCTAGTAGCGATGGCCTCCAACCTAAGAGCGATGGCATCCAACCTCAGAGCGCTGGCCTCCAACCTAAGAGCGATGGCCTCCAACCTAGTAGCGATGGCCTCCAACCTAAGAGCGATGGCCTCCAACCTAGTAGCGATGGCCTCCAACCTAAGAGCGATGGCCTCCGACCTAGTAGCGATGGCCTCCAACCTAAGAGCGATGGCCTCCAACCCAGTAGCGATGGCCTCCAACCTAAGAGCGATGGCCTCCGACCTAGTAGCGATGGCCTCCAATCTAAGAGCGATGGCCTCCAACCTAGTAGCGATGGCCTCCA